GGATGAGCTTGTGTGTGAGGAATGCTGCTAATGCCCTCTCCTGGTGGTTGACAGAGAGTTGCCTGTGTGATCTCATTAGTCAAGCAAAGAACTTAGGTCAGAGTTCACCTTTGCCTTGCATCCCCAGCTCCCAAGGGATCTATTTATTCCTTAGAGGACTGGAAGTAGGACAGTCACAGGAAGGAAGCAAGTGTAAAGACTGGCTGCTCTCCTACACACATTTCTTACTCCATTTTCATAAGAACAGCAGGATTCAATGTTAATTTCCTTTAAGGTAACATTCATGGCCAGGAGTTTGTGGGGTACACCTTTAGCTCCAGCACTAGGGAGGCAGAGGCAGGTGGATCTCAGTGAGTTAGAGGCTATTCTGGCCAACAGAGTGAGTTCCAGGATGGCCAGGGCTGTTACACAGAGAAACTCAGTTTCCAAAACACAAACAAACAAACAAAAGATAATATACATAAAAGCCTGTTTTTGCAGCTATGGACTGTCATTGCAAGTACTTGATAAAGTGAGAGGAGTTGTTGGGCTGTCCACCAAAGTTTAGTGTTAGAGCACTTCCATTAACTTAAATGGCCTCCTGTCTTTTGATAGCCCATTTCCCCTCCCACCATTTGCTGCATGCTACAATGCTTTGATTTCTGTGTAGAGTGACCTTTTTAGAAATTTTTTTCCTTCAGTATAGAGCCTTATTATGTAGTCCAGGCTAGCCTCAAATTTGAAGCACCCCCATCTGCCTCTTAAGTGTTGAGAGTTTAGTGATCAGATATGTACCTATAGGTTTTATACAAATAGAAACAGGCAATGTACTTTATTGAGCCTGCCTTCTATTGCTTGATAATTTTTCTAATGCCCAGCTTTATGGCATGTATTCATTTTACATTCATTATTGCTGAATTGTTTTCCATGTGTGCATTTGCCATATTCAATTCATCTGTTTTGTCAGTTACTGGACATTGGGTCTGACTCTTGTTTATTATTGTTACCATAAATTTCGGACATTATGAGGATTCATGCACAGGTCTGTATGGGGGCATACATTTTCATTCTCTTGAGTAGAAACTTAGAGTGAAATTGGTGAGTTATATGGTGAATTTAACTAAAAAAACTGTGGGTCTGTTTTCCATGATGACTGAGCCATCTCCATAAGCCTTGAGCTGAGAGTGTGGGTTCTCTGTACCTTGCTAGCATTTGGTATGACTGTTTGTAGCCATGCTAGTGAGTGTGCAGTATGAGTTCAAAACACAGCATCATTAACCATGCATCTGTCTTCATTGGTGATATATTTTTAAAAACTTTTTTATTAGTCCAAAGTAGAAACAAGCCTGCTTCACATGTCAATCCCTGCTCCCTCTCCCTCCCCTCCTCCCCTGCCCCCACTAATCCCCTACCCCATCCCTCCTCTACTCCCCAGGGAGGGTAAGGCCCTCCATGGGGGATCCCTAAAGTCTGTCATATCATCCTAGGCAGGGCCTAGGCTCTCCCCCATGTATCCAGGCTGAGAGAGCATCGCTCCACCTGGGATGGGCTCCCAAAGTCCCTTCATATGCCAGGGATAAATACTGATCTACTACCAGAGGCCCCATAGAGTGCTGAGGCCTCTTCACTGACATTTATGTTCTGGGGTCTGGATCCCATGCTGGCCTCCCAGCCATCAGTCTGGGGTCCATGCACTTCCCCATGTTCAGGTCAGCTGTTTCTGTGGGTTTCACCAGCCCAGTCTTGATCTCTTTGCTCATCACTCCTCTCTCTCTGGGTATCTGCCTCTGCTCCCATCAGCCACTCGATGAAGGCTCTAGGATGGCATATAAGGCAGTCATCAATCTCTTTATCAGGGAAGGGCATTTAAGGTAGACTCTCCACTATTGCTTAGATTGCCAGTTGGTGTCAATCTTGTAGATCTCTGGAAATCTCACTAGTGCCAGATCTCTCCTCAAACCTATAATTATTCATATAGATGGTCTTTCTTAAGTTCTTATTACATTCCTGGTTTTGAGAATTTCATTATCACCTTTACTCCCTCTCTCCCTCGCTGACTTAATTTCTGTCTGATTTTTTTCTGTCTGTCTTTCTCAACACTGGCATTGAAGTAAAGGCTTTGTGCATTCTGGGCAAGTATTTGTCACTAAACAATATCACCAGCTCTCTTTAACCTACATACATCTTTAGCTCTTCTTTTTTAAATATTGAAAGCTGTGACCCATTCATATATATGAACTATAATATATAATATGTGATTATCATTTATATAAAACAATGAAGTTGTTAATTATATTATTCATTTATCCATTTCAAAGGAGAGTATTGAATACAAGTATAATTACCTCTTATAGCCTTGAGTTTGTCCATTTTTACTTTACATGTTTTGGAGCTTTGTTATTAGATATTCATGATTGTTACATTCATATTTCTTTTTATCATAAAATATCACCTTTGTCTTAAAGGGTATTTTTTTGATAAAGTCTATTTTCCATATAATTCAGGTAGATCTCTCAGTGCTCTTAGTGTTTGTAATTCTGGTTTTTTTTTTGTTGTTGTTTTTTGTTGTTGTTGTTTTTTTTTTTTGTTGTTGTTTTTTGTTGTTGTTGTTTTTTTTTTTTGTTGTTTTTTTTTTTTTTCCGAGACAGGGTTTCTCTGTATTGCTTTGGAGCCTGTCCTGGCACTCACTCTGTAGACCAGGCTGACCTCGAACTCATAGAGATCCACCTGCCTCTGCCTCCCTAGTTCTGGGATTAAATGGCTTTGGAATTCTGTCCTTAACTCTTTTTTGTGACTACATAAGGTATTTTAAATGTTCTGGTCGACAGCACATAGCCAGAACTTACTTTTCTAAGCATGCTTTAGTGTTTCCTGGAAGGAAATGCAAAGTGTTGCTGTTTTCTCTCCCTTACTGTGCAGTTTCTCCTACTTGTGCCACAGTCTGTGTTAAGAAGCCTACAATACTCTTATAGTATTGTATTCTCTGGTTTTCTACAGTATTTTCTATTTGCTACAGACTGTCACCTCAACTCTTCTTCATTCCTGTAGATTTGACTCTGACTGTGATAGCCTTTCTTGTGAAGAATAACCAATTTTTTCTTGTAAGTCATTTCTCCTACTTTATCAGGGAATGTCTTTGTCTTCATTTTTTTCTTTGTATTCATTTTTGAAGGATAGTTCTGTTGATGGAACTTTTGATTGTGTCTTTCCTTTTCATAACTTTGTGTTGGATTCCACTGTTGCAGAGTTTCCATTGCTTCTGCTGACAATGAGCCTGTTGCTTTTGTTGCTTCTATAGTTCACATATGACCTCAGGTTCCTCTTGCTGCTTTTAGTACTTTGTCTTTCAGTAGTCCAATTATACTGTATTTAGGTGAGGATCCCAACTTTGCTTTTCTATTTGCAGATAAGCCCCCTTTTAAAAACAATTAATAAATTTTGAGACATTTTAGCTTGGACCAAGTGGAATATGGTTATGATCCTACCTACTTGTGAGGATGAGATGTAAGGGTCTTTTCAGCCTAGGAGTTAAGACTGGTTTGGGAAACATTGTAGGGCTCCAAGGCTCCATCTTAAAATACAACAACCAAAATAAAACATAAATTGCAAATTTGTATGTGTTATTAAAATATTTATTATATCACTTTCCCTTTATTTAATTACCATTATGCATACATTAAATGAAAATAATAACAATAATTTTATTATTTTCATGTATGGGTGTTTTGCATGATTGTATGTTTGTGCATAGTGTGGAAGAGAAGCCAGTGAGTGCCTTTAAACATTGCCATCTCAACAGCCACCACATCCATGTTCCCTCTTGGTTCCTTGTAATTGTTTATTTTTCTATAATCTGTTATTCTCTGTCCCTCATGTCAGCGGATTTATATTAACTTACCTGTAACTCAGTGAAGTTTTTTTTTTTTTTCATCTTGTGTTTATTTGATTAAGCTTCACTGTTGAGAGTTCTATTTCTCTGCTTGCCAGTATATTCTCTGAAGCTATGTTAAAGTCTGTGTGAAATCCAATATCTGGGTGTACTAAAGAGTTTTAATTAACTATGACTGACATCAGCTTTGGCCCTCTACATACACATGTCACACATACATGCATCATTGTGCATGCTCACCTACACATGTAGGTGTTCACAATTTTCAAACTTGCATATGTATACGTTCCCCCTTTCTTGCTGTCTCTCTTACATACAAGTGAAAAGAAAAAGTTAAAACTAACTAGGACTTTTCAAGACCCTTCAGCTCACAGCTATAAAAAAGGGTGACCACATGTCTTTCTTTCTTTCTTTCTTTCTTTCTTTCTTTCTTTCTTTCTTT